GCCGCCGCCGCTGTGGTGATTCAGCACCGCCCCGAAACAGCCGCGTTTGAGCCCAAATCCGGCCCCCTGCCCGCCCTCGCGGCGCCGCCGGCCGCGGGTGAACGAGAAACGCCAAGGAAGAACCGGCCTGCGGAGGGAGGCAGGGGCTAAAATGGACCTATGCGAATCTACACAGTTAGTAATGCCATTATAATGATAAATCCAGGCATTCGCATACATATATATACACACACACATGTTATATAGGCATATATCTCTATACAAATATGTATACTTCTGTGTGTGCATATATATGTATACACACACACATATATAGACATGTATATGTGCTAGGTTTACTAGGTGGGACTTGAAAAACCCCAGACTGGCATTTTTCATCAGGAAAAATAAATATTTATGCAGTCTAATTGGACTGTGTTTGGGCAGTGTGAACACAGCCTGGCAGAACAGACAGTTTGGAGGGTGGTGACAAGCCAGGTTCGGAGCGGGGTTATTCTCTTCCTTGCGGYTTCTCCAGGAGGAAAATGCAATGGATTCTGCAGTTGGGATTCACAAAGTTGGGAAGCAGCTCATCACATCAGGCTGTCACAGTAAAACACACCCAATAAACCACACCACAATTTCTGCGAAACGTCCTGGTTGTTTTTATTTTTCAAATATTCGTAAATGCAACGTGGCCCCTCGCTGAAGCGCTTGGCAAACAACGCTGGTCTGGCTGGGAAGGCTGGGGAGAGCCCCCGTCGTCTGCTTCAACACACGTACCAAGCTGCAGCTYGGAGCCGCGGGCTCTCCTCCGCGGGGAAGTTCAACGCTCCTCCTGCACGTTGAGTTATTTTAAGGCACCGTCATTTGCATGGAAATTGCCAACTTGTACACAGAAGTGCAAAAATAGCGCAGCTTAATTTTAAAAACACTGCAAACCCCACAGTGTGTGCTGCAAATCAACACAGGGGTATAAAACCTCATTTTTACAAGGAAACACTAAAATTGGCCTAGGAAGTCCATCTTAAACACAATACAGTGGAGGAACTTCCATGGGAAGAGCTTCTGGGAGGATASGGACAAAGCGCTGCCCCTTCCCTCTTAGGGAGCTTCCCAAACCCATTTCTTCCGTTCACACGTGGAAAAGTCACCTGATTTCTCTACTGCTGCGGCCTCTCCTTCCCTGCTGGCTGCGGAGATGCCCTCACCTCCTGCAATGGGGAAGCACCTAGTGACAATTAACCAATTAACACTCACCCTCACAGCAAAATTATCTGCAACACCAACCGCTGGGGTGGCTGTCACCAATGTGTCACTTCCTAATGCTCACGGGCTGAGTTAAATCAATCCCTGACATTCCCCAGTGGTGGCTGACGAGGAGGTCCCTGCAGATTCCAAGCGAGTCATCTGCCAAACTCCAAACTCTGGAGGAACTTCAAGAAAGGGGAAAATTTTGTTACAAACCACGACTGCAACTCCCCCAGGCAACCAAAAGCAAAGTGACCACAAGCACAGAACCAAGGAAAGCAAAGAAATGAGGAGCAAATAGAGCAGCAAAGAGAAGCAGAGTGGGACTGGGGACCGGTGTGACTCAGAGCTGCACATGAGTTACCCCAACTCGGCTCACACAAGAAAAGTGTTGACATATTAACAAGATTTAGATCCTCAAACTCGTGTGTGTGAATCCAGCAAGAGTCTTCCTAAAAGTCTCTCGTCTCCCGGACTCTCCCGTCCTGTCCTTCCTCCCCACCTCCTTGTCCCTGATTTACTGAACTGACCCTGCCTGAACCTGCAATGATTTTGTAGGTGCAACCAGTGCTTCTTGTTGGCTTCTAGCTGTAACTCGGAAGTCCTTTGACTTGTCACCTGCCAACAGGTTGATGGGGTTTTTAATTATCTGGAAAAATTGAAAGATCGTAATAATTAAGAATTAAAAACTCCTTTGGGCTGAAGACAAACAAGACAGGTGCTGACATTTTAAAGACCCCTGTGTTAACTCAGCCTAATTAACGATATTAAACAGCCATCACACAGTCAATCATGCACTCGTGGAGCGGTATTACAAATGGGAAGAGAATGAAATGCGTAAATTTCCCCTTTAAACACAAACCTGGAGCAGAGGTTTGCTTTTAGACAATCTTGGCTGCAATATATACACATATATATACACACATATATACATATATATTATATATATTTTAGTATGATTTACTAGAGAATGAGGCTAAATCCCATGAATTGGGACAATCATCTGCTCTCATCAGGCGGTCAAACGTGAGGTCTCAGATCCCTGTTGATAAATGACAAAGATTCCCTCTGCTCCGCCAGCCCTTCTGATGTGCTCGGCCTGGAAACACGGGCAATAAAATACATTTTATGAGCTCAGCCTTACACAGGAACACTGAGAGAAGGGCTCTCATTCTGAAATCACTAACAGTGAAATTTGAAAATCCTAAGCCAATCTCCCAGCAAGTTAAAATATTGTCATACCCTCTTTCTGCACAGATTTAACATTGCCAAATAACAGGGCAAACATTTAAATTTCAGCACACATTTAAACTCTGAAACCTTTTTTTTTCCCCTACCTAAAAATTAGGCTGTTCTCTAATTTTAGGACCTCACTAACGTATGATCTCTGATGTACTTCTCACACCACATAGGTGCAYTGGGGCAAGCTGTACACATTATAGGAGATCCTGCCTAGTGGGCACTAACTACTTTTATTACAAAAGCATCATTGTGGCTCAAAGTCTCAAAGCCGAACGGCAGCAGCCAAGCACTATTTCACTGTACACAGAGGAGCTGTAAGGCAGAATGTTTCCTGTTACCTCCAAGCAGCCAAAAGGATGTGACACGCAGTTGTTATTGCGCAACGCRGAGGCCCAGCGTGGACAGCTCAACTGGGGCACGTTAGGCGCCAGGTAAGCGCCGCATTCCCCACGCGACCCGGCCGCGAGTCACGGGGGAAACGCGGCTGGACCGAGGTCACGTAGCCCGCCCGGCCGCCTGCTCCGCGCGGGGCCACCTGCGGCAGCGGGGCCGGGATCGGGATCAAAGCGGGACCGGGATCGAAGCGGGACCGGGATCAGGATTAGGATCGGAATCGGGTTTGGGATCGGGTTTGGGATCGGGATCGGGTCCAGGCCCAGGCGCCGCCGCGCACTCCAGGCCGCGCCGCGCCCGTCACCATGGCAACCGCGCGCGAAGGACCCCGCTCTTAGCTGGCTGCCTCACTGCCTGAGTCATAACAGGGCACCTCGAGGAACCCGCTCTGCAYAGGCTGCCCCTCCCGCCGCCTTCCCCCGCGGTCCGCCCGAGGCGGGAGACGGCGGCAGCGCCGCCGGCRGCTCCACAGGCCCCTCACGGACAGCTCGACCCCGCGCATCACGGCGGGGCCCTGCCCGGGGCTGCCCACGGCGCCGCCTGCGTAGCAAGCGGCCGCTGGGAGGCCCCCGGCTGCCCGCGGCGCTGCCTG